GTGACCTCATAACCCTCCTTTTGGTATTCCAAAATTTAATTATTGAACTTTAGGATACTTTTCCCACCTCACATAGATATAATTAATATAATCAGACAGAGTCAATATTTTATGAAAATCCCTCTTGATTCATGCATGGAAATTTAATTGAGTTTATATGCACATACTATTAATAAAACAGTTTCATGAAATTACTTAGTCAATGGAAACTGACAAAAACAAATGCAATTCTTTTCCTAAGGAAAAATAATTCTGTAGTTAATATTGCTAATTTTATTTCCTCCTTAGGACAAGACCTGTAGTGATTGTCGAAGCTTCTTTAAACCATCCTGAGTCAGTAAATAGAACAAATTTTGACTGTATTGAAAATGGATTGCCTTCTGTGTGCATGGATCTAACACTCTGTTTCTCATACAAGGGCAAAGAGGTTCCAGGTTATATTGGTAAGGGCACCCTTACAAAATGAATAGAATGTGTACTTTACCCATTAATCTCACTGTCATCTTTTGAGCCCTCACTTTGTGTCACATTGGAGGACTGCTTTAGGGCAGGAGAGAGCAGTCACCTGATACACCTTTCTTGCCCATCTTTCAGATGCTCTCATTATTCTAACCTACGAGTGGGGCACATTAAGAGGTTACTGTTGTTTAGAGGTTATGATAAGCAAATCAACTGTATCACTTGCTGTATTATTTAAAGTGAACTATCTGAGCTTAATCTGTAACAGCTCTTTAGAACAGAAAAAGCATCACCACAGTTCCTCCTCTGTTCTTCTGGCCTCCTTGAAGCGTGGTGTTGGCTTACCTTGGAAACCCAGGGAGAGAGAACATTCTTTTCTTTATATTCTATCCTGTTTGAGTAACTGAAGAAGCTTTCTAAAGCTTAGAACCTGATTCTACTTTTCATAAATAACACACATCCGTTAAGGATTTATTATGGCTCTCAACTCCTGAGTGCTTGTGCACATTTTTCTATAGGTAGCTAACTCAGTTTTCCTCTCTGCAAAAAGTAGCATTGACATGGCTCATCCAAAATTGTGGCTAATTCCAAATCCAAATATGTAACTTGATTAAGTATTACATTTTTTACTGGCAAGTTAATTTTTCTAATTATGTTACATTAAGGCTAATATGGGAATGACTACTAATGAAACTAGCCTATGATAGAGAAGCTGACCTGGCTTTGTCATTTGAACATCAATAATTCACAAAATTTATGAGCCCCATACTTAAGAGTTGACTGTACTCATGACCCTGCAGGCTGCCCTCATCTAAACATCATGAAGGGCAGCAAATACTGAGCCAAATAACAGATGTGTAACAGATGCTCCAGTCTGAATTAGCCTGTAGTGAGAAGTACAGAAGGAGCCTAGCATCTCTACTTGTGGTCAGACGCATTTTTTATAGCACTCTGCGAAAGTCCTGGCTAGAGATAGAGTGATAGGGCTATGGGCATATCCTTCATCTGGTTCCTGATGGAAGAAGTGGCAGTTTGAGAGCATGACTCCAGTTAACACAGGAGCACAGACAAGCTGATGGATTATCCAAAAGATAGGTGCTCAATTGATTGGACTGTTTCCCTTTATGTAAAATCAGTATATGTTGTACCACCAATTCCTTTGTGGCCAGATGTTTTTTAATTGGTTGAAAACAAATGTATGAAATTCATAAATAACCACAGCAGTATTACAAAAACATGCTTTATAGTTGTAAAATGACTCCTTGGGATAAATAATTCACATTAAGTATCTATATATATAAAAGACTAATATGCTAAGTGTCCGTCTGGATAATGACGTCACGTAGCAACACCCGGCTTCATCTCCCTAGCAACAACTAGCCTCCTTGCAGTTTCTTCAGCCCAGGAACACAACTTGCTTTATGGCCAGGTGCAAACATTTCACACTTTAACCAAATGTCTGTGAAGAGTTTTCCTGTGCCTCATCTCATTTGATCCTCACAGAAGTCCTGGAGCAGGTAGATAGGAGACTTGGTGGAATCCTGTTTTCTTTTCATTAGCCAGTAAACAGATTTAGAAAGCTTAGAAACTTGACCCTACTGAAAAGAAGTAAGAAATGGTGGACCTTGAAAATGACTTCAGGTTTTCTCACTGCACAGATATAGTCACACACTGCTGCAGTTAAATATTTTACCCTTTGTTCTCCTTGCGTGGTCTAAAATAATCTGCTTCGTGTTGATATTTACTGCTGTGTTGCTGACAATTACCTGAAAAAGAAGTTGGGGTACTTCACTGGGCTGGAAGAAGTTTAGCTACATCAGAAAGAAGGTCTAATTAAGCAAGTTTATTCTATATGTATAAAAGGCTAAGTTGACTTGCACATGCATGATACATATAAAGCTCTCGCTGGCGCCAATCGCACGCATGTGTTTTGATCTGTCATTGTTGATCGTGAATTTGGTTGACACTTCTATTATAGAGAAAGGGTGAATAGCAATATTAAAATATTTCTTCTAATTAATTTCCTTTCAATGTGCACAAATCCGTGCACCGAGCCACTAGAGTTTAATGAAACCAGAACATTTTTGCCTCTTACTGTGAGTGGATTTTTATTCATCTTTCTTCATTTACTTTTGTCTGAATATCTCTAAGGCATTGAATCTCAGTTATTGTGATCTTGAAGCCAATTGATTTGGACTTTATTATTTATTTTCTAAATAAAAGGAAGATTGATGGATTTATTTGAAATTTGTGGGAGTAGTGTAGGTTCTATACTTAGATTTCCCTGAAATAAATAGATAAAATACTTTCAGAGGAGTTATTGATGCCTAAAATATAAGTGAACACTTCAGGAGTTACATAAATTCAAAATACCACTTAATGAATTACTACTGCTATATGAGTGACACCTCAACAACCTATTAGATGCAGCTTGTTTTGCAAAGATCCTCTTTAGATTCAAGAAATGGCTCTTTCTTGATAAGATCTGGCTTGGACTTCTTTTAAAAAGTTGCTTGTAAATTTTCCTTATTGTTTTGCTTACTGAAGATCATTAGCAGATGATTACTATGTACTATGTCATATTTGAAATAAGTCAGCAGTCACCAACCGGTGGTCTGCAGACCACTGGTGGTCCATGAGGTCCGAAAGGTTGGCGACCGCTGAACTGCCAAAATATTTATTGAGAAAATGTCTGTCTGTATTTGTTTATTTTTGCACAAATCAGCACTTGAAGTTCAAACTAGTAACCAATAAAACTGTGGAGCTGACTTACTAGGGCCCAGGGCTGGAAAAGAAGATATCTTTGAGTAAACTGTTTATATAGGTTTGACTTTTGAATCATGTGTTCACTTTACATTAAAAAGCAATAACAAATAAATCAAAAGAAAAAGATCAACCCCTCAAATTGGAAACAAATGGAAATAAATGAACCTAACAACATATGAAGTTAATTATATAACCACACAAGATAGAAATATTCTAGGTGACATTTGAGCACAGTACTCTGCCTGTACTTCTTTAGACAAGATTTTCTATGCACAAAAAAGGACTCCAAAGAAATTTGAAACTTTACTCAGGATTTTTATTATTAGTAACAATTTGGTACTATCTTTTTGAAACATTTACATATAAGTGGACTAAGCAAATAACTGAAGATTTTAATATTGTTAAAATAAGAAACCTAGAGAAAAATTTATACTTTTTTTATTTATAAAAATAACTTTTGTAATTTGTATTTTTAAATTGTTCCCTCTTTCATAGTTCAGGTTAGTTTTTTAAAAAGCTATTTGTTGAATAGAATTTAAGACATTTCCAATATTCTCTATAACTTTGACTATGACCACTTCAAAAATAACAAAATAATGCTTTTAGAAATTAATTGCAATTCTCTACATTTTTTTCAGTTTTGTTTTATAACATGAGTTTGGATGTGTCAATGTTCTCTATAACTTTGACTATGATCACTTCAAAAATAACAAAATAAATGCTTTTAGAAATTAATTGCAATTCTCTCTACATTTTTTCAGTTTTGTTTTATAACATGAGTTTGGATGTGAGCAGAAAGGCGGAGTCTCCATCAAGGTTTTACTTCTCTTCTAATGGAACTTCCGATGTGGTTACAGGAAGCATCAAAGTATCACGCACAGTCGCTAACTGTAGAAAACATCAAGCATTTATGCGGGTAATGTAGACTAGTTTGTATTATTAACTTCAATATTATCAGTACAGTAAAAATCTTAGTACAGAGGTTTTACTTCTCTTCTAATGGAACTTCCGATGTGATTACAGGAAGCATCAAAGTATCCAGCACAGTCGCTAACTGTAGAAAACATCAAGCATTCATGCGGGTAATGTAGGCTAGTTTGTATTATTAATGTATAAACTTCAATATTATCAGTACAGTAAAAATCTTAGTACATTGGTATCTGTTTTGTTGTTGTTGTTGTAGTTTGTTGTTGTTAATCTTCACCTGAGGATATTTTTCCATTGATTTTTTTAGAGAGAGTGGAAGGAACGGGGAGAGAGAAAGAAACATCAATGTGAGAGAGACACATCAATTGATTGCCTCCCACATGCGCCCCGATCAGGGATGTGGATTGAGCCTGCAACCGAGGCACCTGCCACTGACTGGAACTGAACCCGGGATCCTTCAGTCCTCGGGCCGAAGCTCCATCCACTGAGCCAAACCAGTTAGGGCATTGGTATTTCTTTTTATACAATACAGTTAAAGGCCCGTGCTATCTCCTCCTGAACTAGCTGACCTATTTTATTGCTCCAGATTCAAAACCCTTAATAACCTGTGACCTGGATAATTCAGAGTCCACTTTTTGCACCTCCTTTATTTTACATTTGTTACATTTCACCGCATCACTGTTTTAAAAAGACTTGCCTTTTCCTTTCTACAATTGCAGTGTTCTTATCTCTGTTTATACCCTTGCCTAGAAATGTACATATTGAACAGCTCAGCTGAGCCTCAGATCTATTCCTGAGGAGTGATGTGCCAGCATTGTCAGTGATGTCAGTGGGAACGTGCACAGTGTAGTGGGATAGGGATCAGCTGTGGGCCGGGAGGACGGCCTGCATGATGGTGTGGGGTATGTCCTGCCAAAGCACAGCCGATTTCATGTTTCTTTTATTAAAACACCCGTTCCCAAACTGATCATCATGTTCCTTGCATTGGTCAGATTTTATCATACAAAGCAGTGCCAGCTCTTTTTCAAGAGGGAATGGTGTGCTTCATCAGAAAATCTATTGTCACAAAAAAAGCCAAACTATTCCCGGGAGCCGTTTCTGGGATTTCAAATAGTAGCTTCAGCTTAGAACTTAATTGTCCCTTAGATACTTATTCCAAGCAAATGCAAACAAGCATCAGGACTCCAATACACTATTACATGCTAAGAACACTAATCCCTATGCTGTTTCCTCATTTCCCTGAGCAGTTTTTATTGTTGTACTTGAATAAAGCAATCAGATGGTCGGGAGCCAAAAGTATGGAATGATATTAATGTAACCATCATTTATATGCTAGAGTTTAAAGGGGTTCTCTTTTTTAAAATGTTATATAGTTGTCATTTCACTTTGGTTAGTCAATTTCGGAGACTAACATGGAGACCATTTTAAAGGCAATAAAAGGGCCAACATTAGACATTCACAAAGAAACATATTGTGTTGAATGTGTGTAAATGGCAGTAAATTGATCTGATTTATTTAGGTCTGTGTTTCTTGGCATTGTTCCTGTGAGTAAGTGTTCCTCAAAATTGTACATTTTCTTCGGAATAAATTTGTAGTAGAAGTGACATTTTAGCAGAGGTTTCTGTGTTTGTTGTTTATATACTTGTAAATGTTACCATGGTATCAACCATTGACTTTGGGCCATATTGTCAATGTCAAACAAAAACACTTAGCTCTGGAGTTGGAACATAGTGGGGATTAAAAAAACACAATCATGTGATTTTATTGTGTTTTTTTCCCCCTTCCTAAATTTTCTTGCTTTTGTTTGGGACATTTTAATACTCAGATATAGAACGGCAAAAGGGTACTGTGACCCTCTCGCCACAGTCCAGGCAGGAGGTAAGAACCACAGAAGCAGCTTCCCCATCTCTGTCAGGGAGCACTAGCTGTTGTTTAGGGAAGGGGAGTAATGCAGTGAGTGCCTTTTCACCCCCAACAGCATGGCACCTGATGGGAGGCATTCGGCAACGTTAACTTAACATGGCTGTGCTTCTACCATCTGGAAGAATAGAACCACAACCAGAATTCTGCCAAGATATCTTCCTAATAATACAGAAAAAGAAAATGAACACCAGTCAGGATGCTTGGGTTGTTCCTTTGTTCTGTAAAACATGCCCAGTGTCAGCAGTGATAATATACATGTGTGTCCTACGGTGGCACCCTTACAGTGAAACGAGGTATTGCTTGTTAATGATTTACTCAGGCCCACAGACCCCTCCTCTCAGAGGACTCCTAGATTACTAGTTAGGTACACTTTCCTTGTATAATTGTTTCCTTTGGCTATACCAAGGAAGTTCCATTTATCCATCCACTCAATCAATTCAGAAGATATTTAGTGAGTTGTGAATGCATGTCAGGTTGTGTTTGAGACACTTGTGATCACTTAATAAAGTATAAAATGATTACTACCCTCAGAGGGCCTATAGTCTTGTGAGGGTGAGATAATAACATGGTCAATATGTAAATTGTATAGTATTTTAGAAGATGAGATGGGTGATGGAAAAGGGGAAAAAGAGGGCAGAGTTCAAAATATGGAGTTTTATGGAAGGAGTGAAGAGTACAATTTTAAATAGGCCTCATTCAGAAGGTGATGTTTGAGGAAAGACTCGAAGGAAGTGAGGAAGTTACTGTGTAGATGTCTACGACAGTGGTTCTGAACTTCAGCAAGTAACAACAGCATCACCTGGAAGGCTTATTAAAACACAAATTGCTGGAGTTCGTGATTCGATAGATCTTCAGTGAGGCCTGAGGATTTGCAATTCTACAAAGTTCCCAGGTGCTGCTGCTGCTGCTGACTTGGGAACCACACTTTGAGAACCCCTGATCTAGGAGAAGACCATTACAGAAGGGAGAGCTCAGTAAAAATGTCTCAAGACAAGAATGCACCTGGTTGTTTTAAGAAACAATGGAGAGTCAAGGATGACTGGAAAAGTGAGCTAAGGGAAGAGTAGTGGAAAGAGAGATCATATGGGACCTGTGACATTTTCTCTGAATGAAATGAGGATCTACCTGACTCAGTAACAAAAAGGAATGTGTACTCTAACTGCTGTGTTGAGACTAGACAGTAGGGGACCAAGAGCTGACAAAGGGAGAAGAGGCTACAGCAATAACCCAGGTGAGAAGTGATGGCTTCATCAAAGGTGGTGGCAATAAATATGGTCAGAGGTAGTTGAAGAAATATCCTACACAGTTTGCTGACAGATGGGATGTCTGGCTTTTGAAAAAGGGCTCTGAGTTGACTCTAAGGTCTTAGCCAAAGCCACTAGAAGAATGTAGTTTTCATCACTGGAGATAATATGCAAGGAAACAAGTGTTGGGTGGAAAATTCTGGAATTGAGTGTGAACCTATTGAGTTGGAAAGAACTGTGTTGCTTACAAGAGTAAATATCAATTAAACATTTGTACACACTCATCTGGGGTTGGGAAGAGGCATAGAACTGGAAATATAGCTTAATGTACCTTTGGCATATGGATGGTTTTTAAAGCCATATGAGGTGGCTGAGGCCACCACAGGAAGAGAAGAGGGTGGAGGTCTGACACTAGGGCACTACCACATGAAGAGATTGAAGAGAAGAGAATGCTTTCAAAGGAGATGAGAAATAAGAAAGGGGGGGAAAAGCAAGATCTGTCGCATCCTGCAAGTGAAGTGAAAAAAAAGAGCAAAGAGGAGGGCATGACAATGTTTTCAAAGCTGCTGCTTGGTGAAATCAGATGAGGGCTGAGAACTGGGCATTGGGTTAGCAATGTGGAGGCTATTGGTGACTGTGGCAACAGCACTTCAGAAGAGTAGTAGGGAGAAGGGAGAAGAATTTGAGACACAGAGTACAGGTAATTTTTCACAAAGTTTTGCTCCACCTGGACCAAAGAAGTGGGATTGGGAGTTAGTAGCTAACATGAGAAGTGGAATGAAGAGTTCTTTTTTTTAAGATAGAAGAAATAGCATGTTTTTATAATGATGGGTATGTCCCAATAGAGTGTAACAGTTATGATGTAGATAAGAGGAGAGAACAGTTAGAGCAAATATCTTGAGAAGGCAAGAGATGGGAAGAAGATATGATATAGTCTTTGTGAGAGTGAGAGAGTAAGGAAGTACAGAACGGTTGTGAGATGGTATTAGTGTCTAACTTGTACCCATGGTCATAAAGTGAGATGAGTCAGATGGTGATGGGTTTTTTCCAGTCACATTCAATCTTACAGGTGAAAGTAGATGAAACAGTAACAATTAACCAAGGAGTGGTTTGTCAAAGAAGTAAAACAAAGGGGCCAAAGAGTCAAGGAAGTATGCAAGGGAGTGTTCATCATAAAGTTTAAGGATGGTAAGGAGAGGGGAGGACATCAGAGGGTGAGGAACAGGGAACTAAGTTAAATTGGAGGTTCCAGTGGGATCAGCAAATTGTTGGAATTGAGTTTTAAAGGGAATAAGCTGGAAAGATATCACCAATATTACGTTAACAGCCATTAGGGACCTAAAGTTGAAGAAAAGATTGAATTTTTATTTTATTCTTGGTCACAATTCCTGGTTATATTGTGTAAATGAGTCTTTCAGCCTACCTGCATTTATAAAACCTATCACATTCTTTGATGGTAGATAATTTATTAAAAAACCAAAATCTCATAAAAGTTGGGCTTCATTATATCTTTTTCTTTCAATCACACATTCTCTAGTTTCATATATTGGATCTTGGAATATAGGAGACATTTTTAACAATCTAATAAGCATCTATATCTCTAGTGTGTCCATTTTCTAGTGTGTTATTTTTTTGAGACTATGGTCATTTATCTGGTTGGTAAGCACACCAGTTTCCTAATGTCTACTTAACCTAATCATAAATAAAACAGCACATAGGATTGTTTTATTTGTATGGTCAAAATTTGTTCCTCAAAAAAACAGAAAAGAGGACAGAAATTGTTTATTTTTCTCTTGCAAAACTCTACTGTGTTTCAGTTGCT